CAATACAGATTTTATATATATGTGTATATATAATTTATTTATATATGTAGTGTATTATACGTACATATAAATATACACACTTATTCTTGCAGCAAAGATTTTGATAAAACCTACCCCACTCTCCAACCTTATTTTCGAGTCATTGCGCCCTCTTTCCAAAACTCCCATCACTGCCCTAGATGATGCCTCTATAAGAATTAAACATCTTCTGATTTCTGCAGAAGGATCTTGATTTACTTCTGATAGAATTGTTTAGGGTAGATGAGAACAAGGTATGAGTAAAGGGAAATAGTGAAATTTGAAGAAGTAGCAGTGTTATCTAAGTACTTAGCATCCATAATTGTTAGTACTGGTGATGATGGCAGTACAGTGTGTGTGTATCTGTGTGTATGTGTGTGTGTGTGTGTGTGTGTGTCTGAATGCATGTGTTGTCAGTGTACATGAATGGAAATGCACATACAAAGATAAATAAAACACAATCCTTGCTTCCCAAGAGTTCTAATTAAGTTGCAGAAACAAGAACATGCCCATTAATTATACCTCTCATAGGTAATACTGTTGATGCAATCTGTACAATCTCTACTCTGGTGTATCTCCCATCCCAGATTAAAGTCACTTATTGCACAGACTTCACTCTAGAGCCAAGTCTGCCATGTGGGCAGTTGAGGACTCCTTGGTGCAGGAGAGACTAAGCAAGTAATTATTCTTCCCCTTAATCCATCCTCTTCTATAAAAGCAGTTTCACTAATACATCCGCAACATTTAAAGCTTATCTTGTGAGTGAAAATACAGTTTAAAACTATTCTGAATTGTCTTTACAACTTTTATTCAAATTTGGAAACTGAACTAGGTAATCCCTAGACCTTCTCATTTTTCCTTAAATGTGTTCTGTGCATATACATACTTCATATATCTCTGAGAATATAAAAATTAAATGTTCTTTATCCCCAATAATTGCCTAATAGCATTACGAAGGCAGTAGAAGTTTTTAAGAAAACAATGAAAGTGATGACAGTTAAACAAATATCTCGCTCAAAGCTAGGAAATACTCAACTAATTGAATCTGTATCTGTCTTAGGCTGGGTTCCCTAGAGAAGCAAAACCAGTAAAGCGTATAAATATATAGAGAGAGAGATTTAAATCAAGGACGTGGCTCAAGTGATTGTAGAAGCTAGAATGTCCCAAGTCCGTGGATCAGGATAGAGGCTTCTCTCGATTCACACAGCCACAGGGGCTGGTGAACACTAGATCGGCAGGTTGGAGAGCATGGCTCTTGCTCACAGGCTGTAAGATCGATGAATCCCAAGATTGGCTGGGAGAGGCTGATAGCTCAAGTCCCAAGAACCAGAGGTCAGATGAACACGAGGCAGCTGCAGGATCCAGGGCAAGCAAAAAGCCAGAACATATGCTTATATACGGATGCAGGTCACATCCCCAAGGAAAATCCCTTTCAAATGATTGGCTACTCACAGCAGATTCCATCATGGGAGTGATCACGTACGAACACTGAGAATCATTGCCCAATCAATTTGCCACACAATCTTAACTATCACAGTATGACTGACATACTACTCAAATAATTTACACATGGAAAATGCTTTATTGTGTAGAAAACACTTTTTTCATATGCTGCACAAAAATCTTACAAAATCTTTTTAAAATCTACAAAAGTTTGAGGAAACTATAGATCAGACAGGGTAAAAATAAATCTATTGCCCAAATCCAGAGAACAGGAAGAGGGAGAGCACGTGTGTGTATGTGTGTGTATGAGTATTTGTATGCATGCAGATGCAATCCTTGAACTTTGGGCTTTTCCATTCATTACACCACAGAGCTTTCCTGAAGTCAAGATCCATGGCATACAAAGCTGATTTCAATCTTAGGAAAAGAAGTAAAGAGAAATTTTTACAGAATTCATAGTCAGTTGTCCAATAGGCTTCATTCACACACTTAAGAGGTACTCAAATTATAAAACTTAAAATATTACGAAGTGACTTTTCTCTTGTGTGGTAAACCTAAATAAAGAATTATGAAAGCCACCAAAAGCACTATTTAAGAAATATGTACTTAAAATTAAGACTAATCGAGAGAAATAAAGGAAAACTAACAATATAAATTGATCGGCATGTACTAGAAAAAGATTGGTATTTTTAAAAGTTTACCCTATATTATAAAGATTTAAGTACATATTATTCCATTTAAGATAAAAAAGCTAAATTTGTATGGACTTAAATAAGTTCTTATAGGTATGTATATTTATATGTATGTATATTTTATGAATTTATATGCTTACATATTTTTATATAGAAACAAAATGAGAACTTAACCATCAGTAATAGGATTGAATTTATTGAATTGGTCATGTAAAAAATAGACTTTTCAATCATATCAAACTGAGGCCAGGAGTTTGCCAATGACACTTTCTTTTTTTTTTTTTTTTACTTCAGCTGTGAACAGAAAAATTCTTAAACTCTCAGTTCCTCGAAACCAGGCTTAAAACCACAATGAGTAATGAAAAAGTAAAGATTATACTAGCAATATTTCTTCTAGTCTTTCTAAATTGTGGCAACATCCTTTTAAATTGTTGCAGTCTTAATACATTAAAGAAAACCAAACTAGCCTAACGGGATATCAAACTGACGATATGACAACACACACACAAAGGAACTGATAGAGATGCAAAGGGTTACGTGCTCCACTGCTAGCTGAAAGGTTGGCTGTTCAAACCCACCCAGAGGCTCCTAGGAAGACAGGCCTGGTGATCTGCTTCCTAAAGGTCACAGCCTTGAAAACCCTATGCAACAGTTCTATTGTGTACACGTGGGGTCACCATGAGTTGGAATAAACTTGAAGGCAACTAATAACAACTTTTCAACAGTCTTCTGACTGGACTTAGTCAGTTATAGTCTATGCACAGAAAGTACTACAAAGAGATCTTGAACTCCACTAAGTAGGTTTGTTGTTGGTAGCAGTCCTAGTGTGGCAATTCTGATTATTGTGTGTGTGTTATAGGACAGAGCTGAGAAAATGTGTTCATATTACTGAAAATCAGGGTTCTCCCTATGAGACCAAAAAACAAAAAACTCAAACTAAACCAATTGCCACTGAATCAATTCTGACTCATAGTGACCCTATAGGACAGAGTAGAACTGCCCCATAGGGTTTCCAAGGCTGTAATCTTTACTGGAGCAGCTGGTAGGTTCAAACCCCCGACCTTTCCATTAGCACAGAGCACTTAACAACTGTACCACCAGGGCTCCTCCTTAGAAATTATGTCACCTAACTAGCAATCAGCATATCTAGCACTCAGATCTTTGTTATTAAGATTCTCCACTAAAGAGCTACTTGGAGAAACAACTGATTCCAGGTCTGCGGCCTGAAAGATAGAAAAGACTGAAAGACCCAAGAGCAATAACAAAAGGCTTCAGAAGCTAGTTTGAAAGGGTTCCCCATTGGCCAAACTTAGGACAATTTGAGCATCAAAATTATAGTGATAATGGATTATTAATCTTTCAATAAATAAGCCCATAGTGATACTCTCTCCAAAAAAAAAAAAAAGAAAGAAAAAGAGAAAGAGAAAAAAGGAGAAAGTTCTTTACAAACATCAGCCAATATTTACAGGAGGGTAACAGAATTAGGAAGGAGTCCTGGTGGTGCAGTGATTAAGTACTCAGCTGCTAACTAAAAAATTGGTGGTGTGCCAGCCTGCTCCCATAAAGATTTACGGCCTTGGAAACCCTATAGGGCAGTTCTACTCCATCCTATAGGGTCGCTATGAGTTGGAATCGACTCAACGGCAACAAGTTTGGTTTGGTTTCTTGGTAACAGAATTAGAAATCACCATCTTGCAACTACCAATGAATCATCACAGGATGCTAAAACCACTAGGTGAGCATTTGTGGGAGAACAGGATATGCATATGGTCTCAACTTATCACTGCACATGATTGATTACAAAGGTAAAAAGATGCCTTTACAATGGACAAAACGTCTCATTGACACCATCTTACTAAACCGAGTAAATAAAATGGGGCCAAATGACATCATGTGCCTATTACATAATGTGTTATAATGTGAAGGCCACAACATCACCAAAAATGTTTAACTGCATCTAAGAATGAGAGAATGATAGGCCAAATAAGTCCAGACTGAGGGTCATTCTATTTAACAACTTGCCGGTACTCTTCAAAAAACATCAAGGTCATAAAATAGAAAATAAAAGTGGAAGAACCGCTCCATTTTGATGAAAATACAATAGAAATGACAACAGAAGGCAATGTGTCATCTGTATTTAATTCCTAGATCAAAAATAAAGAAGCTAGATAGGGCATTACTGGGAAAATTGAGGAAATTTAGATATATGCTATATGTTAGATAATATGATTGTATTAAAGTTAAATTTCTTGGGTGTGATAATGGTATTACAGTTATCTGAAGATTATCTTGTTCACATGAGATACATGCTCAAGTATTTAAGAGTGAAATGTCATAATTGCAACTTACCTTCAAATGGCTCAGAAAAGAAAAAAAAATAGAGTGAGTGAAATAAAGTCAATGTGCCAAAATGTTAAGAACTGGTGAATCTAGGTGAAGGTTATATGGACAGTCAGTGTACTATCTGTCAACTTTTCTGTAGGTTTGAAATTTTTGAAAATAAAAAGTTGGGAAACAGAAAATCAAACAAAATTATCGTTTAAATTTTTTATTTCATATGCTCATTTCAACAATATAGAAATAGAAGTTTAGCTCACACATAATCACTCTTTTTATAGATTAAAAATAGGAAATGTTGAGTGAAAGTTACAAATTATAACATAATCAAAATGTATAACAAAGTACTTTAAAAATAAGGCCAAAGATTTAAGAATCATTATGTTAAATTTCTAGTACAAACATAAAACAAGAAAGAAAGACATTGTTGATGCTAATATTCAAAATGGGTCTTGCCCAATTCTTAAATCCTGCCACCCCCCTAAAACCTAAGGAAGTATTCATTATACACTGGAAGTACAGAATTCTTAACAAAAGCCAATTGGATGTTGAGTTTTATGATTCTCCTTATAGGTACAATCTATCTCTCAGCAAACTATAAGCCATTGAAAATGTAACTCCATATCCAACAAAAAAAGCAAAAGCTCGATTTGGCTGGGAAGGGGTATCAGATATGCAATTGTGTGGTAGATCCGTGCTCCAACAAAAAGTCTGAAGTGCAGGAGGGCTGTAGAGAGATCTGGACCACTCAAGGAATACAGAAGGCCAATGCCAACAAATGACACAATATTTTCAAGGTCATTCAGGTGGGCTCTGTGGGAAAAGATGACTATTATAGATACTAATTTCAAAATCAGTAGAAATATACTCATCCTTCCTTCTCCAAAACTAAAAAAAAGTGTTACTGGGTCTTTAATTTGCAAAGTAAGATTCCTTTTATTCCTCTCAAATTGCCTCATTTCCTAATCCACTTGACCTTTATTTAGAACATCTCACTATTTTTGTTTCTTTTTATTTTTAGTGTATCTTGGCATATAACAGAGAAGTCATTTTACAGTTTCTAGAATATCAAGACTGCATCTATATAATAAAACTGCCTTTATTTTTGTAGAGATGAATTACTTTTTTCGTCTTCTGAGGTGCGTACGATAGCAATTCAAGATAATTCTTATAAAAGCCCTTCTTCCCCAAAGAAGAAAATCCTATTGGTTCTGATCTTTCCGAAGACTCTTCTCTCACATCTGCTGGTCTATGAAATGATTGCTGGGAGAAGCCTTGCCCATTTACTCAAACCATTAGGTTGCCAAGAATTGATTTATCAATTTCCTATCAAGATTATCAGGCTCTCAACATCCACGTAACAGAAAATAACTAGACAACCTGTCCTCAAATCCCAAAAGGAATTAGTTAATAGTGATGACACAAAAGTAAAAAGTATACACAAAAATCATGGGCATTAAAGCGAGAGAGAGAGAAAGATGTTTCCTAAATTATACCTTTAGACAACAGCTAGAACAAGACAGAAAGCATGGTTTAGATACAAGTTTTCTTCCAAAACATGGCATTTTTGGTTTCGCTAACTAGGATTCTGAATACAAGACACATCTATTAATGACTTCAAGTTTTTTGAAGTACTTAATTTTAAAATCTGATGTCCCAGTTTATGCCTATAGAATTAAAAAATACTTAACCTAGGCTAGAAATGGAGATACTGATAGTTTATCAGCTATTGATATGTATTTCAAAATGAAAAATATTTGTTACTTTCCTCTCTTTAAGCAAAAAATATAGTTATTACATATTGCCTGCTCAATGATCTCCATTATCCTCCCCGACTTTGTCTTATTTTCCTTAGATTATCCTTCAGGTTGCATGACAAAGATGATGACAACATAAAAATGTGAAATAGGTGGCAGTAACTCAGATGAAAGGAACCCTGGTGGCACAGTGGTTAAAGCGCTCAGCTGCCAACCAAAAGGTCAGTGGTTGGAACCCACCAGCTGCTCCACAGGAGAAGGAAGAGGCAGTCTACCTCCGTGAAGATTTACAATCTTGGAAATCCTATAGGGCAGCTCTACTCTGGCCTACAGGGTCGCTGGATGGCAGTGGGTTGGGTTGTTGTTGGCAATCTAGACGAGTAAATGATTGAAAGGGTTTAAATAAAGAACTACTCAATAAAAGTAAAGATAGAAAGGTGTGACTGTTCCCGTGTCCTCTCTTTAATGGAACAACCGAAGGGCTACTGAGGGGAAACCCACTGCCATCGATTCCAACTCATAGTTACCCCACAGGACAAAGCAGAACTGCCCCACAGGGTTTCCAAGGAGCGACTGGTGGATTTGAACTGCCGACCTTTTAGTTAGGAGCTAAGCTCTTAACCACTGTGCCACTGAGAGGAAAAGTGGGCAGGAAAGAACAGGAAGGCCATTTTCTACTAACGAAACCCACTTCATAAACTGCATCAAGTATATTTGTTTTGGTCCTCTGAAATCTCCTGCTGGATGGACCAGAAAGATACCTCTACCTCCAATTTGCGGCACCTTAGTGTTCTCCTTCAAACATTGTGAAGGACACAGAAAATTGTGAAGTTAGGGAAGGAACTATCAAAGGGAGATTCTGTGAGAAAATGTGTCCATTTGTAAGATGATGTAAAATGATTGGGAAATAGAATGCAATCTTAAAGCAGAGAAGAAAATCAAGGACAAAGAGGGTGATAGGACAATACAGGTCAGGTGGTGGTGGAGGGAAGGAAGGTCTGGGGTAGGTCTTCCTTTGACCTTACTCACCCCTTCTTTTTTTCTAGCTCCGCTCTATCTTATTTCTCCTTTTCAATACTCTTTTTCCTTAGCCCTCAAAAAGCTCTCACAGATAACAGTCTTCATTGTCCTAGCAAGGCCTGTTTTCAACAGACCCTCATACTCCATGCTACTTTACACCTTTTTTAGAAGCTGTTCTCTCTAGAGCCTGCCCCAGGCATATACTTACCCAGCTCTTCCAAGTGAGCACCTGGGTAGTTCAGTATCACCCTACCACTGAACTGTTTCCTCTGCTCAAATGACACAGCTCATTTGACAGTGGTAGCTTCCTTCACATTAGTGCCATTTCTAGACAGCTACCAAAATCTATTCCCAGATGGATATCAGTCTTCACGTGTGACCAGTCTATACCTGGGTCTATACCCCCCTCCCCACCATGATTCCATGTTCCTATTCTTCTATCTCCTTTGGACAGGTGACCCCTTTGTACACACTTGCTTTGTGACTAACCTTTCCACCAGCCCTGCTCTGTGCTCTTGATGCTACAGTCACACCTCACTCCCTCAAACCAGAGCCACTTGAATCTCAGAACATACCTGATCTGGACTAGAGTTGCTACATGCCTTTGGGAACTGTCAGGGGATGGCCAAGTACAAAAGGAGCTTCACAACAGACTTTTCCTAACTCCCTTATCTTAGCCTCAGCTCCTCTGGATTCACAGCATACAGCAGTATGTTCAAACTCCCTCCCAGGAATTTCCCCAAACTGACATGACCTCTATCCTCATCTTCCTCATTCCAAATCCTAATATCCTTCAAGTGCTTTCTTCATGAAATATTCCTAAATACCCAAGGATACTTATATTCCGTGCCCCACAACTTAATATCTAATGGGATACTAGTTATATCATTCTCTAATTACAACATGCTTGTTGCTTTTATTTTCAGGTAAAAGTTATAAACCTCTCAGAGGCAGAAACTCAATTTTACAAGCTCTTTTATTGCCTCCAATAGAAGAATTGACAGTGATCCGCACACAATAATCTCTCAATAAACTTTGTTTACGCATTGGGGACAGAAGGGGAGTTATCTAGTTCGACCCCTAGCCCATGCTTCAGTCCCTTCACAGAATCCTCAGTGTGTGTCATCTAGATTCTATTGAGCACGCTCAGTGAAGGTGTATTCTTCACCTTTGCAGGCAGTGTATTCTAAAAGTCTCCTGTCCCTAGCACCAAACCCACGCCTTACTTTCTTTCTTCTGTGTTTGATTTCTCCAGCTGCCCTGACTGCCCTACTCCTTTCTTTTTATCTTGTTATACTGAACATATGTGGTTTTGATTCTCTTTAGAATAAGGTAAGACTGGGGTAAGTAAATAAATAATGTAAAGTTCTTTCCAACCATCACTGATTTCTGTCTGTCCAGGCTGAAATAACTCAAAACCAGTCACTTATCTTGACACCTCAAAGATATTATATTTTTAATACGTTGTGTGTATTTATTCATTTACCCAACAATGCATATCTGAAAGTATACCTTTCACTTCATTTGTAGCCCCTTCAGTCCCTACCATTGGAATATGCTGATAATAACAGCTTTACATGTTGAAGTAAAGAGAGAAAAAAAAGTCCGGGTTAAAAATGGAAAGGGAAGATTCTGGAAACTCTTTCTCTGAAAAGCATCTCTAAAAGTAGGCTTCTATTAGGAACTTTTCAGTTGGGTCAATAAGGTCTCAAAAAATAGCTGGGGCTGTTAAGGTCTCAGAAATACAACTGGAAAGAAAACATCTGTCTTCTTCAAGACTCTGCTCTTGCCTCACTGAAAAGCCAGTGTCTGATCACAAGGGGGCACTGTGCGCACAGCTGCTGTACCTCCTCAAGGACACTGACCCTTGTCAGAACTAGGGGTCAATTGTTTTTTCTAAAATTTATTTGTTTCTTACCTGACTAAAAGATTATTTTAGATAATGGCTTTCTCTTCTAGAAGTACAATCCCATGGGTGCAGGGAGAAGGGGCATAAGGGATGGGGTGCAAAATCCAAACTCCGAAAATAAAATATCTTTTGTAAACTTTTCACGCATGAGACTTCAGTACTGGGATCATCCTTCCAGTCTTACTAATGCTACTGAGTGTCTAATCGCTATCACTTTCATGTCCTGGGCAATTTTATGAGTATTGGCTCATGATTAGCGTTATGCATGTGGTTGTCTGCTCCAGAAGGGAAGGGCGGAAAGAACAAGACAAAGCTTTAGACTGCTTAATGTCTCTTCAGTGGTTTTGGGAACTTCACAAAGCTTCTCTCACCTGTTCTGATTTTTATACTTTCTCATAACACATTTGTCATTTTTCCTCTGATACTGGTTGAAATTTTCATATCGATTCTTTGTCCTGATACTATTTCAGCTTCATATTCTTGGCACAACCCATTTCAAGATATGCTCATTTACTCAGTCGCTGTTGTTAGCTACTACTGAGTCAGCCCCCAATTCGTGGAGACACCATGCCCGACGGGATGGGACCGTTGTGATACACAGGGTTTTTATTGGCTGATTTTTTGGAAGTAGTCACCAGGCTTTTCTTCCGATTCTGCCTTAGTCTGGAAGCTCCGCTAAAACCTGATTTACTCAGTAGGACTGCTGAATAAACAAGTACATAACCTAAGTGGATCAGAAATTAAAACTATTTTCTAAATATCTAGCACAGACTTCTCAGAAGAAAACTATTCTTGCTTGTTAAATAACTTGGGATAAAACTGTTTTGAATGAGCAAGAAGGTGGATTTAATTTTGGTCCTGCATAGGGCTAAAGAGGGGCCAGCAAAAATGGTGTAATGCTTGGCCCTCCTTGAGGTGAAGAAGGCACAGTGTAAACTTCTGGAGTGGGGACAAGAAAGAAATGGCGCTGTAAGAGCACAGAGGCCTAATACACAACTTGGAATGTTTGTTACCATAGTATAAATTCCTCTGCACCCACTCCCACATCAACTTAGTCAAGTCTATTTTACCCTTTTTGATTTGTGGTGGAAATTCAGGAATGACTGAGTTTGCATCCAGGTTAGTTATTTATATATATATATATATAACTAAAAATAGAACTAGCGTATGACCCAGCAATTCCACTGCTAGGAATATACCCAAAAGACTTGAAAGCAGCAACTTGAATGGACTTTGTACACAAATATTCACTGCAGCATTATTCACAATAGCCAAAACGTAGAAACAACCTAAATGTCCATCAGCAGATGAATGGATAAACAAAACGTGGTACACACATCTAATGAAATACTACTTAGCCAGTAAGAGAAATGAAGTCTTGATATATGCTATAACATTGGTGGGGCTCGAAGCCATTATGCTGAGTGAAATAAGTCAATCACAGAAGGAAAAACAGTGTATGACCTTATAAAAAGACAAGTAACAGGCAAATGTAGAGACCAAATTTCATCAGTGATTACCAGGGGCAGGAGGGAAAGGGGATGGGAAGTTATTGCTTATGGAGTACTGATCTCAGTTTGTGATGATGGTGAACTCACATTGATTAAGGGTAAGGGTTACATAGCTGATTAACGTAATTTCTGTCAGTAAGGTGTACACTTGCAAAAACTGTACCGTCACAGAACTGCAACTGGCAAAAATACTGGGATAGATATGTTTACAACAACAACAAAAAAAAAAAAAACAGCAGTTGCTGAGGCTGCTTATATACAACCAAACACCTCATGGGAGTTGGTTTCCTGGTTTGGAGGTTTAGGGTAATGATTTCATGGGACATCCCAGTTAACTGGCCTAATATCATGGTTAGCGCTTCTGTTCTGTCTCCTGGTTTGTTGTGTAGTGCCTGCAGGGTTCAAAGTTTGCAAGTGGCCAACCCGGACACAACTATTGGTCTCCATTTGTCTGGATCAGAGTAAGAAGGGCGTCAGGAATAAGAGGAAGGAGTGGAATGTGTGGCTAATTGCCTCCATGAACAACTGCCTCCCATGCCATGAGACCAGAAGAAATGGATGGTGCCTGGCTACCATTACTGAACATTCTGATCAAAGACTCTACAGAAGAATCCTGATCAAAAGGGAGAAAATGCAGAACAGAAGTTCGAATTCTTGTGGAATCCAGATTTTCTGCAGCCATGGAGGCTGGATGAATCCCTGAATCTATTGCCCTGAGATAGTCTTTAAACCTTCAACCAAAAATATCCCCTGAAGTCTTCTTAAAACCAAATAATAGTTTAGCTTAACTAGTAAAGGGAAAACCTGGTGGCGTAGTGGTTAAGTGCTATGGCTGCTAACCAAAAGGAATGTGTGCCTTGAGCCTTCTGCTTTTTTAAGATCTATCTATATGGATGAGACTGACAACAGCAATTTGAAAGATTAGATAAGAAACTCAGGCGGCAGTGAGTTTATGCTAACTGGGGAGGAAGAATTCAGAAAAGGAGAGTGAGAATGGTTACTCAACTTGAAGAATGTAATCAGTGTCACTGAATTGGACATGTAGAAATTGTTGAATTAGTGTATGCTCTGCTGTGTATATTCTCAACAACAAAAAATAAACTATTAAAAAAAAGAGAAACACAAATCTGATATCTGAATTACAGAAGTAAAGTTTTTCCCTCTGTCTCTATTTCATTGTTTATTCATACTCACCAAATTGAGGACATGTATCTAAATATAATCTTTATATTTCCTGTCTAAACTATTTATCACAAGACTAAATGCCTCTACATTTAAGAATGGCTATAGAAACTCTTCACTGATCCTTTCTTTTTATATAACTTTACTTATGCTTGGAATGTGCCTAAACTGTACTACAGTTTGGATGAGCATTAGAAAATATTAAATGAGAAAATGGTATAGAACTTTGACTAAAGCACTGGTTAATGGAATCTCAATATAAAAAAATTTTCTTTGCAATTTACATGTCTTTCTATGACAATGATTAAAAAATACACCTCCAGAACTAGAATTCAATGTACTTACATTAATTATATTGTTTGGAGACTGTTGAAGTGGTATCCTTGCTTACTGCTTTTCACTGTTCATTGAATTCCCAAAACATTAACCATAATATCTTCAAAGGAGAGAGACAGAGAGAAATGGATTTCCCTATTTCTCCAAAGAGTGTCAACTTCCATATTTTGAATTCTATGCAAAACTATCCAGTTTTCCAACCCTTTACAAGAGCTGATAATCTCACTGCTGATAAAGATGAAATTACAAGAAACTACCTTCCCTGTTGTATGCCCTGCCTTCCATTATTTTGATGCATCCCTATATAAAATCATTAACACCAACAATGGAATACATAAGTATTGCAAAATTGGCAATATACGCAATTGCAGTGAAACTTAGAGACTTCCAGATCCCTAATTTATCTGTAATTTTTCTATGGACAAGGTACGATGACTGACTTTATTTTCTTCAACTTTAAAGTCCTGACATCCTCATCAAAATTCTCGCAAAAGTAAATGATTTCAGGAGACAGTGGCTTACCTTCATACACATTCCACTCTGTCATCTGTTCGAAGATACTTCTTGGCATTTTCTCCTTTGCCATGATGTGCACAGTCTTCTGGGTTGGCAAAAGCCTATTCCAAATAACAAGAAAAAGTTACTAACATGGGGGTATCCTACCTAATGATTTATTTGCATTTTAATGGAAAAAATACAGACATTCATGTTGGCCCTTATGGAAAGAAAATTTGGAGAAATAAACCAAACTCAGAGGTGGGGGGGATCATCTATAGTTTACACATGAATGTTTATTAACAACACAAAATAAAAGACTCAAAGACAAGCATGAAGAAAAACCTAAATAAAAACCAAAGTATAAAAATAGTGTAAAGGAAGCAAAAACGGGAAGAAGGGTATAATTCTAAGTTGTCAGTGATTACCATAATGGTGAACTGGCACCTTTTTCATAGTGATATTGACACACCTTCCCTCAAGTGTATTAACTAATTGATTCATCTGAAAGTAATAAGTTCACTTGCCAACGATAGTAGAGAACAGGTGAGGAGCATAAAAGGGGGAGAGGGAGAAAAGGTATTTTGTACATTGTTAGGATATGTGAACCTGTGGCTCCCCCCAACTGGATAAAACCTTGAGGTGAATAATACAGTGAAATTTAAGAAGCTGAATTTCATTCCTGTAAATAACAAGCACACATTCTAGGGCATATGTTTATGAATTCCTTCCTGCAATTATTATGCTGTTTGAAATTATTTCCCCATCCTTTGAAATTTGAAATATGCATTTTAAAAAGTATTTAAGTAAGTTCCACTGTTTAATAATTTATAATAAAGAAAAATGCAAACTATAAAATTAGCCTTAATTTAAGCTTATAAATATTATAATGTTTTTCTTAATGCGATATGAGAATTTAATCCAGACAAAGATGTTGAGGAGAACTGATGGGCTGGGATGTGATCCAGTTATCAGGTCAGATCTGTCTGTCTCATTCATCACGGTGTCCCAGGCACCTAAATAAATGCCTGCCACACACTAAAAGTTCAACTAATATATTCTGAATAAATAAATGTATGGAAATGGAAAGTGTATGAGATTTGGGTTCAAACCAATCTGGACTTAAATCTCAGCCTCACCCTTTATTGTTTTAACCTTGGTGAAGTTACTTAACCAGAGTTTCAATTTTCTCATCTGCAAAATAGGGCAGAATAACCCTCATCTAACATGATGTTTGTAAAGATTATATAAAATGATACAGTTATCTACCACATATAAAGAGCACCATGGCCCCTGGCACATATCACTGGCACTCCACAAATTTGAATTCCTTTCTGTTTTTCTTTATAAGAAAGGCTATGTTTCTGCCCTCCTTGGCACCATTATGTTTCTAGAGGGCAGTGTGGACCCAATGGTAGACAGCCACTTTGTAGTTGCTCCAGCATATTGTCCCATTAGAAGTTGATTCCATTAGATAATTACACATATGGGTACGTGCCCCCCTTAGAATGCAAATAGCCTCGGGAAGGGATCATTTCTAAGGAAGTAAGGGAAGACTGTGAACTTCCCTGAAGTATTTCCTAGTTATTGTTTCCAGGTGTAATGAAAGCAAGGCTCTGGAGAACAAAAACTCAGGACAGGTGCTTTCCAAGAAGTTGCTGAACAGGCTCAGGTTGCACCAATAAAAATCATTAAACTTTCCTTTACTCCTCACTGTGCCATAAACTCTACTGGAATACAAAATCTATGCTTCGAAATCTTTCTAGCACTTTCCCTATTTCTCCATTTTGTAAAAATAATCATTCTAACAATACTGATTAGAAATATTATCCACTTAGTGGTGCCTGGCCACCATTACTGAATGTTTTGATCATTCTGTAGAAGAATACTGATTAAAAGGGATAAAAATGTGGAACAGAATTCCAGGTTCTTATGGAGTCTAGATTTTCTGGAGCCATTGAGGCTGGATGAACCCCCCAAAACTGTTGCCCTGAGATAATCTTTAACACTGAACCAAAAAAATCCCGAGGTTGTCTTTAAACCAAACAATAGTTTAGCTTAATTGGTGGAGAATGTCTGCCTTGAACATTGTGCCCTTTTCAGGAACTATATAGGATCAGCTTGACAACAGCAACTCGAGGGGTTAGATGGGAAGCTTAGGAGGCAGTGAGTTTATGTAATGGAAGAGGAACAATTTGGAAAAGGAGGGTGAGAATGCTTGCACAACTCGAAGAATGTAATTGATGTCACTGAGTTGTACATGTAGAAACTGTTGAATTGGTGTATGTTCTGTGTATATTTTCAACAAAAAAAATTAATTATTTTTTAAAAAACAAATATTCAGCATTTAAGAAGTGGAAAGTGTACAAAATTCAAATGGTCTGTCCCAGTCATACAGGGATCTGCTATGTGAATCAGAACTTTAATTCTCAGCCTTTTTTTGGTCCCTAAAGTCATACCCTTGACCTATAAGAGAGCGGAAAACACCAGTCAACTGTCTTGAAAATAACTATTTTTCTAATTCTAATTGACAAAATTGACTCCAAAATCATAGAACATTTCCTTGAAACTTTGACACTCCAAAGATCTCCATTACTAAGCAGTATGACAAAAGGTAAAAGCCACAATGAAAAAACCATTTACTAGCAACTGTTCCATAAATATATCAGATCCATGTGTACCAAATGATTGTGCATTTCATTGCAGCATTAAACAATGTGCTACTGGGCTTTTCCAAAAAAAAAGTAAATTAAGAAAATTGCTTTCCAGAATTCCAACTTTTGAAAGAAAATACTACCTCCAAATCTCTTACCTTTCTTGTCAGTCTATAGAATGCAGTGGCAAAACTCATAAACATCATTTTTGAAAGAACAAGTGGTGCATAGGAGGAAAAGGCCATGAGTACTTCATTCTTGGTTAGTTGGGTGAGGTCAATCATTTTTTTCAATTTTGGTCTGGAATCCTAAAAAAAGATTTTAGACAAAATGGGGAAAAATGTGAAAAAGCAGGCATGGATGGATACCCAAAATGACTCTCAGTGGTCACCTGGTGTCCTTATATTGCAGCATTAACCATACCGTTCTTAAAAAATATCTTGGACTCTTTGTAGGAAAAAAAAAAATGATGGTTTAGTTTTCAAAATTTCAAAATAATCAGAATTATGTTTTCTCTAGTTCTATGTCATTAAGCTTGAAGACATCTAACCAAGTACTGAATGAAAAAGTAGGGGGTAATACAAGCAAAAATAAAATGCTCTAACAATGGACTGAAATCATATTTTTGCATCAAGACGAGACAAAAGGTTGGACGTAAAAGACCAGATGTCATGGACTGATCTCTTTAGAAACATCCAACTATGGATGTAGTGGCGCCACTGATGTCATATGAGGAATGCCTAAGCTCTAAGCTATGTCTTGCTTTAGAAAGAGCTCTCTAGCTTTTTGTCATTTCAGTAGTATGCAAGATCTCAGGCTCCAGGTTTGAATTCAAATCCCACAATCTGTCTAACGTTGGTTGAGGGATTTCACCTGTGTAAGACTAAATTTCTTCATTTATAAGATGGGAATAGTAATAGGTTTTAATAATTGGGTTGTTGTCAGGGTTTAATTGAAGTAACCTCTGGAATATGCTTAGCACAATGTCTGGCCAATGAAAAACTAGATAAAATTTATTATATCTTTATCAGGATCATTATGGTCATCATTCATACCAACACAGGTGAAGAAAAAGCAGGATAATGTAAAAATCAAAGTAACAGGCTTGCAAATGCAAAGTAAGGAATCAATATTTATGGTACTTTCACAAAAAGAATGGTTAAGGGAAGGAGAATTAGCTTTATATGATTCTTCAGGTTATTTTACATTCCTTATTTACATTCATCTAAAAGCTATCAGGAGTCCCTGGTGGCACAAGAGGTTAAACACTAGGCTACTATCAGAAAGGCTGGCAGTTCAAATCCACCCACAAGGTACCTTGGAAGAAAGGCCTGGTGTCTTAGTCATCCAGTGCTGCTATAACAGAAATACCACAAGTGGATAGCTTCATTAAAGAGAAATTTATTTGCACAGTCTAGTAGGTTACAAGTCCAAATTCAGGGCATCAGCTCCAGGGAAAGGCTTTCTCTGTCAGCTCTGGACGAAGGTCCATGTCATCTATCTTCCCTTGGTCTGGGAGCTTCTCTGCGCAAGAACCTTGGGTCCAAAGGACACGCTCTGCTCCCAGCAATGCTTTCTTGGTGGTATGAGATTCCCATGTGTCTCTGCTCACTTCTCTCCTTTGTATCTTAAAAGAGATTGGCTTAAGACACTGTCCAATCTTGTGTACCTCATCAGCATAACTGCTGCTAATTCACCTTATTACATCATAGTGATAGAGTTTACAACACATAAGGCAATCACATCAGATGACAAAATGGTAGACAATCATACAATACTGGGAATCATGACCCAGCCAAGTTGACAGAAATTTTGGGGGGAACACAATTCAATCCATGACACTTGGTGATCTACTTCCAAAAGATCACAGACATTGAAAACCCTATGGAGTATAGTTCTACTCTGAAACACATGGGGTGGCCTTTAGTCAAAATCGACTCAATAGCAACTTTTTTTTTTTTCCCTAAAATATTGAGAGTAAACTGAATGTAACTATCTGAATTTGGAGTTGGAAGGTATCTTAGTCATCTAACGCTGTTGTAACAGAGATAGCACAAGTAGATGGCTTTAACAAAGAGAAGTTTATTCTCTCACAGTACAGCAGGCTAACAAGTCCAAATTGAGGGCATCAGCTCCAGGGAAAGGCCTCTTCTCTCTGTCAGCTCTGGAGGAAGGTCCTTGCCGTCAGTCTTCCCTTGGTCTGGGAGCGTTTCAGCACAGGAACCTCAGGTCCAAAGGACGCACTCTGTTCCTGGTGCCGCCTTCTTGATGGTACGAGGTCCCCATGTCTCTCTGCTTGCTTCTCTCTTTTATATCTCAAAAAAGACTGGCTTAAGACACAACCTAATCTTGCAGACCTCATCAGTATAACTACCGCTACTCCATCTTATTACATCATAGTGATAGAATTTACAACACATAAGAAAATCACATCAGATTACAAAATGGTACACAATCATACAATAGTGGGAATCATGACCCAGCCAAGTTGACAGATATCTGGGGGGACACAATTCAATCCATGACAGAAGGATAACTGGGAATGTGCTCAGGAGGCAAGCTAAGGCCACTACAGTGATAGTGAAGACAACCCGTAAACCAAACCCATCGCCGTGGAGTCGATTCTGACGTGAGTTGGAATTTAGCGTAAGGCTGAAAATTTAAACTCCCTACCCTGTCCGGTAGTCATTCTTTGCAACCTCCACTTGTTCTACTGTCAGCCCTGCTATCTGCTTCTTCTATCTCTTCCATATCTCTTCCATATAACCACACATCTTTTCTCACACTCTAGCTTAGATGCCATTTAACCTGCTTAGCATGAAGTGCTCTCTCTTCTAGAGGATACTACTTCCTGGCTTTAAAACTCACCTCCTCCATGAGACCTCATCAGATTCATATCTATCAAATTCTGATTGTTCTATCTACCTACCAATAATCTATAAGCCTATATATCGTTCTATACTCTGCTGGTCATATAGTTATCTGTATGTTTCTGCTAATTGTGATAGAAATCAATTTATATACATATATGTTTAATTTTATAAGTTTGTTATGCACCCAACTATGCCATGCACTTTATGTATATTACCTTACATAATCCTCATAACTATAATATAATAATCCTCATAAATATATCCATTTTACAGATGAGGAAAAGAGGACACAAACCCAGCTCTCTCTGACTTCAAAGTCCTTGCACTAACCACATTTGCACCATCTCCCTCAAGAGACTATAAACTGCTTCATCTGATTCAACTAACATTGACTGAATTGCTAACACTTCACAGGGCACCTCCTACTCTGTTACCTTCTTTCATCTTCCATTTACGCAGTAAGGCAGACGTTATTATTCCCATTTAACAGACGAAAAAACCCAAAGCTTCCTAACTAAACCTCTATTTTTACTTCTTCAGGCAAAAATATCCTCTGTGGATTTAGGGAGACTGAAGCTATATAGTCTAGTTGAAAAAAAAAAAAAAAGAACAAAATACTTATAACAAATTAATCCACCTCCACCAGTCAGTAATCTTGAAAGCAAAGTACGTTAGATATTTTCTCAGCGCAAGGTAAGACTTTTAGCAACAGTTAATGCATCTGTACTGCTTCAAAGTATTGAGGGGGTGAAAGTTATGAATAAACTGCACTGTCCTTAGGAACTCATACTCATATTAAGTCATTAGGTTAGTAAAGATCTCTAAATCCTATGCCTCTAGACAGAGACCTGAAGAAACACAGCAGAGATGTTGATATTTAAAAAAAAAATCAAGAAAATGTTATCAAGTACAAAGTTTTGCCATTTAATAATAATTTTAAAACTAAAACAGTCTATTTAAGTCCCTACTCATGTCCCCAGAATGAAATTTATTTAGCAATGGAACAAAAGTTCAGATTTTTTTTTCCTCAGTGAAAACAGGTATTGAAAGTGTAGAGAAAAAGTAGAAGCCTTCCAGAACTGGAGCCAGGAAAAGAACACAGAGATGTCAGCAATTGAGGGGAAAGGGCGGGAGAAGGTTTTTTCTTTAAACGTGCACAACAAATAAAAAAGTACACCTCACAAAGAAAGTTTCTCAAACACCAACAATGTGGTTTAACTCCCTGAGCGTGTGGTTTTGGGAGATGGACCAACACCAACTTTCTGATACCACACCCTACAAGTCCATGAACTGCTTCTCCTAACCAACACCTTCCACTTCCCAGCATACATGAGGGCTGCGTAATACACAGTAAAAGTGAGAGCATTAAGAGATACGAGTCATTTATAGCATGGATTAAGGCAACACTGGTTCAGACTTTTTTTTTCCAAAGCTGATTTGTCAATAAGTCACCATGACCTTGTTACACAACACTCAAGCCATTATCATGGCTGGCGTGCTGCAGGCAGATACACAATTACTGAAAGCGTTTTACCAGGGAGGTCACCAGGAGGGAGGATAGCAGTATAGTAGCAATAATAATTAAGAGAGTAAAATGTTAAGTGACTTGAGTATTCTAAGAATGAGGCAGAAATAATCTAGGGAAGTAAGCAGAGAAAAACATGAAACCTGGTTATGAATCATAGAAAATAAATGATTAAAATGATAAATTGTATTTGCAAAGTGCTTTGTTCATTTTATTATCGATTCATTGGCTGGCACGGTGGTAAATATCTCCACTGTCACGCTAGAGACCAGGGCTCAGTCCCCTAATGCAAAGGTAACTGCCTTTGGCGAGGACACAGAGCAGAGAGCTTGAGAGCACAGATCTGGAAACTAGACAGCGTGGGTGGGTCCCAGCTCTGCCACTTCCTAGCTGTTATTTAACTTCTCTGTGACCTTACCTGCAAAACAAGGGTAAGAGTTAATTCCTGCCTCATGGGATTCTTGCAAGGATTAAATAAGTAAATACATGAAAAGTGCTTAGAAAAACACTGGGATGTGGTAAATTCTATATAACCAGTTGCCATCAAGTTAACTCCAACTCATGATGACCCCATGTGTGTTAAGAGTGCAACTGTGCTCCACAGGGTTTTAAGTGGCTGATATTTTTTTGTGGAAGTAGATCAGCAGGCTCTTCTTCTGAGACACTTCTGGGTGGACTTGAATCTCCAACCTTTCAGTTAGCAGCTATTTGTACCACCCAAAGTGTCCAAGGGCTATATAAGCATTTGGTAAACAAAAAGCTCCTACTCTGGTGCTGTTCGAAGTGCTGAGGACACAAGTTTAGAGCTTTCAAAAAGTTTTCACATACTTTATCACACTTCATCTGAAAACTCTATGGTCGTGAGAGCAAGTAATATTTTTCTTTA